CATTGTTCTCACTTATGTTCTAGGGTTCAAACATTTTTTGCAACAAATGTGCAATGACAAAATAGATCCACAACCTTTTTTTTCCCCTTTTGACTTACATTCTGGCACTCCATTGCCATGTATGCAGCTTTTGTACAACCGGCTGGAAAGTTCTGATGTGGACTTCTTCACTATTAGTAACTCTGAGGAGTTCAAGAGGTGTGTATTGCAGATTATTACTCGCTATTAATTTTTTTTGCCTTTTGCCTTATGTGCATGCACCCATCCAAAGGCTTGTCAGCTGTTTGAGGGAACAATAAATATAGACTGATTAATTGATTAATTAAAAAAAACACAAAAAGAACCAAAAATATATATATATATATTTATTTTTTTGCAGTTTGAAAAGTTTTTTTTTCTTTTTTCACTTTTTTTTATTGTCACACTTTTCTTAGAAAGTCATATTTCGGGCTGAAAAACACTTTCCTAAAACAAGTAGTGGGTTACCACGCCCCTTTTTGGAATACGCTCCCTGTTTACCAATAAATTTTCCAAGAAAAAAATTCAACACCAGATCTAAAAGTGCATTGCATCTGGAATGACCTACATCGGGGGTCTCAAACACGTGGCCCAGGCCCGCGAGCCGCATGTAGCCCGCGACTCGCTGGGACGCGGCCCGCAGGTAAACCGGCTACGCGTCCCTGTTCCCATGCGCTGGAAATGGCATGCGCCATAGTGATCTCATCTAGCCGATACATTTCCGCTCAAAAAGATAGCTCTGCTCTTTTAACGTATTCACATAGTTTATCCTTATCTGTGCTTATTTGCCCTTTGTATCGCTTTATTTTTTTTGCTTCCCAGCTTTTTGTAATGTGCAACAATTACGCTACTGCTGCAAGCGCAAACTATTCGTTTAAGGGTACATCTCGGCTGCGCGAACTCTTGATCAGCAGGAGTAGCTGTCAAAAAAAATCAAGCTACGAGGTCGGGATTAGAGCCTTCAAAGTATTTGTTCAGAGTGTTGTAATAAAAATCGTCAAAAAGCAAGAACCGTCAGATTAACTGATTGATTTTTTAGAGACATGTTGAGCTTGGTTAAATTCCGAGTGAATGAAGCAACAAAAACAACAGTGCGATTCCTCTCTTGTTTCATGAAAAATGCTAGCACGTTGGCGGGGCGGTGTCATTTAGTTCTTGATATCACATGACGTGAGGCCCCAAAGTATTCGTCATATAAACCAATCAAATCTAAACAAGTTACTGGCAAAACTGTGAGTTCCAAAAAGCATAGAGGACGAGGTCTTTTCTTTTTAAAATCGTCTGACTTTAGAGTTTAAATTTGAAAATAAAGCCCATTTTTGCCCGTTTTCGATTTCTGGTGCCATAGAGCAGAGCCCCATGTGTTCGAAAACTCCGTCGGTCGCCATTTTCCCATTGAAATTTCCAGAAAATCACTTATAACTTTTGAATAAGGTATCGGATCAGACTGAAACTTTGGCATCTGGTTGTGACCTCTAGCGCTACCTTTGGGCGGAGAATGAGCGTTCGGCGATTACTCGTTTATTTTTGCGGTAAAAAAGACCGCGTAAATTTTCTTTGGGACACCCTGTGCTGCAGAAGCGCCCAGTTCGTTCAAGTGCCCAGTATCAACATTTCCCAAACTTGGGAATTCTGCAAATTATACGTTAAACGCCCGATTTGACTGTACAAGCGCCTGTGTCTAGATTAACCCAGTTTTCAGTGTAAGTGGGGTCGGCGCTCCTTGGATTTTACGGTACTAACTCATTGAGACTGTTCACTATTTTTCCTCGGCAATGAACAGAAAACAAATTTATGCTATTTTTAAGGATCTCTCAACAGCATTCAATAAGGTTTCTCGTAAGAAATTAATATAGAAATTAGACAAAATAAGTAAGAACACACAGTTAGTAGAATGGATTCCAGCTTATCTCTCAAACTTTCAACAGTACACAGTTTTTGGCAAACAATGTTCTGACCGACTTTCTGTTGACTCAGGTGTCCTCCTTGGTCTGTGCCAGGGCCTCTCCATATTTTGCAGTTTATTAATGACATATTGCAAGATGTTCCTGTGAAAATCAAATTATTATCTGATGACTGTATAATTTACTCAAAAGCAGATAGTACTTCAGATCAACTTGATAAACAGAGCATTTCAAAATATCGCAACATGGTGCACAGATTGCCAAATGACCATATTTTTGAAAAAAACTTCTTTTACGAGAATTACTAACAAAAACATCTTTTGAAGTTTGTTTACAATCTTCATAATAACTTCCTGTCAGATGTCACAAATATAAACACCTTGAACTATGGACTACTAATAACCATGCTTGGACAAAACAATTATTTTTTAACGTCTAATGATGCGCGGAAGTTCTTAGAAGAACATTAAAACTTTCTCCCCTTTCCTGACATCTCCTCACATATAAAACTATAGTCGTACCAAAATTAGATTATGTTGCAATCAACTGGGATCCTTTCAGTTAGATTAACATTAATAAACTTGATCGAGTACAGAAAAAGGCAGCTCACTTCATTTATAATAACTTTGGAGGACCCTCCATAACCAAACTTTTAACCAGAGCTAATTTACTGTCCTTGTCCGAATGAAACCGGCATTCTCAACTAAAATTCTTGTACCACTTAATTAATGAGAATTATAGGGAAGACCTGCCCGAATCAATCACTTTCTCATAAGGATATGCCAAACAACAAAGACATGCTCTAAAACTCCTTTGTAATCGCGTAATCATTGCTCCAAGTATTTTTTTTTTCCCATGAACAATAACCGAGTCGAATGACCTCGCTGAGAGTGTTGTTATGCAGCCATCGTTATCGTTATTTGCATCTACTTTAAATTAGCTTCTTTCTGTACTGCATTTTTTCAAATGTACTACTACACCTTGTTTTCATTTTTTTTGCCAGTTTGTCATATTTTTTTTACCACTGTACCCACCTGCAAAAATCCCATCGAGTGATTGCAGTTTTAATAAATAAAAATGAGAAAAGTATGCTTAATATGTCATTACCAACAGGTATTGAACACTTAGATACTTTCTCTTACTCGCTTGGTTAAAATCATTGCTGTACAAAATATTATGCATTAACTTTTTTATGCCCCGTTGCCAAGGCTAGCAAAGTTTCGATATTACTGCAGGCCCACACTGATGCGACAGTATTTGGTTTCATCTTGTGCCTCATTCACACGTGCGAAGGGGTCGTTAAATAAAGCCCCACAGTCACACAAGCAGCTTTGACGGCATTGGAGCACTGGGGAAGCTACAGTACCCTTAACGATGTGGCACAAAAAGTTAATGACAAGAATAGTGACCTAAGATAGAATATGGCATGACATCTCAGGAATCATCACATAGAAATCTCGATTTCAGCATGCAAAACCATTCAGAAGTGTTTCTTGCTGCTTTGTTTCATTCTATCGTTCTACAAAAAGGGTCATGAAATCCCTCATTACCCACTCTTTCCACAGAGTACTTGATCTCTCATCTGGGTTTAGATCATAAAAAAAAAAAAAACAAGAAAAAGAAAACCAATTAGCAACCTCGTCCTTGTATCCTCTCACCTCCCCTAAAGTTACAAAGTGGTTACACCTATTTGAAACACAAGCATTAACATGGTAATGGAGAGGGGAAATGTCTTCCTCATCTATGTAAATGTCCTGTTAGACACAATGAAGCACCAACAGGCTATATACCCTTCTTTGTTTTGAGCCGTGATTAACTACTTTAATTTTCTCTGTGCTTCAACCAACATCCATGCATTGTGCTTCAGCCCTATAAATTCAATCAATAAGATATGTTTTTTTTTTGTTTGTTTTCACAAGTCTGTTTATTTTTGCTGGTTTTGGCTCCATTTTTTTGGCTTCCCTTTCCTCTACTAACCTAATTTTGTTGGTTGGTTTTTAAAGCGAAATTTATCTGGCAGTTTTTTTTTCATTATTATTGTTCTGTATATATTTGTTCTTGCCGGGTTTCCTGGGTCCCCTTCTCAGTAAATTGGTACCTGCACGCAGGCCTTTTTCCTCGTAGATAAGTAACCGCGCATGTAACGAAACCAGAGGCAAACAGGCGTGCACGGGGGAGCATTCCCCCCGAAACAATTACCAACTCGCCAGGCCATCCGCGACCTACAATACAGCCAGACAGAAATAACCACCAAACAATAGCGGAAAAGAAAGAAAAAAGAGGGCAGCTAACGCCATTTCCGATCAAATAAAATAAAGTTAAAGAAGAAACGAGCTTATTGTTTTTGCAACGAGCATTTATGCTTTCTAGAACGAGTTCACGGCTCGCCAAGAGTCAGATGACCTCCTCCCTTCCCTCCGCTAGGTCGGAGATCACCTGTTCGAGGAAGTGAATGCGAAAAGTTTCGAGTTTGCGTTCGGTCGATCACCACTCGCCGACTCGAGGATTAACGCCGAGCAGATCGCCCGGGCTTCCTTCGATTGGAGATTATGCCACATGCAGGGAAGCGACGATCTCGACCGCTGTAATTAATTAAAAAAGAACCGTAATTAGGCCTAGAAAAATGACGCCAACTTCTTTGTTTTGAAGAGCCGACCGATGAGAGAAGGCACGGTGCGCGTTGTCAAGCGCTGCCGAGCGTCTTCGGGACTCGGCCGTGGACCCAACTTCGTTGTGGGCAAAGTTGCGAAGTGGCCAAATCTTACAGGAAAACGTGCCGCGACACTTCGGCATACGCATCTAGCTTGTCATTAAAACTTTTTGCGAGACCAAAAGTTCACTGGATTGTTAGCGAAAACTGACGGCGACGGGTACGTCCACGGACGCAAAACGAAGTTTTGAAACTCGATAGAACAACCAAAAGACGTCGACTTTCAACCAGCCGCCGCCTCACCGCACGATCGCGGAGTTGGTTCGGCGAGTTCCAAGCACGACGGACACGCCTCCACGGTCGGATGCCGTGCTTGACGGTTATCGAGGTGTAAAAGTGGCTGCTCCGACGAAATGGGATGCGCTCACCTGATTATTTTAGGACATTGTTGTTCCGTTGACGCGCGTGAAACAGTTGGAACTCGTCGACGTGCTGAAGCGTCAACACCGCCGTTCGCAACGCATGTAAACAAACAGCACTCAAAAACCTGGCTATCTCTTTCGAACACCGCTTTTCAGCCCACTTCACACACAGACTTCACGCGTCCTCGACTAACCTCAACTTCCGGTTTGCAAGCCAGTTGTGTTGGGTGCGTTTATTTATTCAACGTCACCAGTCCGAGCGCGTCAATGTTAACTCTAAGTGGACGCTTAGTAATCTGTGACGTCACTCTTATTGAGTGTTTTTGTATTTTATTCGCAAAACACGCTAAAGCACCTGGTTCGTTCGATTCACCTGAACGCGACTAGCGAATGCTTTCATCGCTTTGGAACCTTATTTTTTTCCCAGATCAGACAAACGTAGTTTACGTAGTAAACCGTAAGGAAAAGCCCTTAAAAAAGTTGCAAGCGTAATTTTCAAAAGCACAATCAGTCACGTGACCAACCAAAGCTAGAAACTGGCTAGAAATTACGTCCTTATACCTCTATTAACGTCAAGTGTGACAGAATGAGCGAGATAATTTTTTTAAAACATGCAAGAGCTTAATATGCACTACAAGATTTTGAAAATAATTTATATTAGGTTTTAATAGTTTTATTCTACGTCTAATTAAACTAGTTTTGATTTTTGAGATATAGGTATAAGGTACCCCGTGTGATGCTTTTAGTGCACCCCGTTTGCAAGTCCTTTCCAGCGTGAATCTTTCCCAAGTGGCATCCGTGTAGTAAGTAGCTTACCATTTTTTCTCAAAAATAAAGTTCCAGCAGCCGTTGCTCTATGCCAAAGTTATAAGACGTATTTGTAGAGCGATTAAGTCACTTTCCGTTCAGTTTTTAGCACCTCCATTTACTTATTTCGGTGCAATTTGATCCAAGTTGCTCCGGGCATGCCGGCGTGTCATCTGGCCGCTCGTGGTGATCGGCATGTTTTGATGTCTCTTTGATCGTCATTTGACGCTTAACGCACTGGCTGTCTATGTTTGCTGAGGATGGAATTGTTCGATGACGCAATCTTACTGTAGCCGTGCTTGTTGATCTCCCGGCGGTGGCATCGGCATGCACGTGGTCGTCGCGCGTAGCCCTAAAACGTCGTGGCGCTGGGCTCTTCCAGGTGTCCGCCGTTGCTTTTGGATCATATCGCGATGTCGGGAAACCTGAACGTGTTGGGCCTGAAGGACGACGATGTGCGACGGTTCCTGACGGCCAAGACCCACATGGGTACTACCAACCTGGACTTCCAGATGCAGCAGTACTGCTTCAAGAGGCGCTCCGACGGTGAGTGTCCCCGAGAACTTGCAGGTTTCCTCGAGCGCTGCTCAGCCGTATAAAGAGGCTAATTGACGGAATAAAACGAAACTTCACGTAGGTGTCTTTAGGCGGTGCGTTTTACCACACTAAAATTGCGTGAGCGCAGGATTCTCGGTAGAAATGCAAGAACAGAAAAGCGTTCCATGCGAAGGGAGAATTACGGGAGCAAACAGCGGTTAGCACACCTACTCGCAGGTCGCACTACATGGAACAAAAAATAGGAATGAAATCTGTGAAGCCCGTTACAAAGGGTACAGCTGTTATAATCCAGCCACCTATCCATCGAGACACATTTCCCTTGGTAGAGCAGAGTGTACTTGAAAGTACGAGTGGGACGAGCTACAGGCTCCGCTCATGCTTTGAGTTGCACCTCAAAATGTGGAAAGCGATCAGGTGGAACCAAGCCACTTTGATTGCAGAGCCACCTTCGCTGCGTGCAGTTGAGCAACGACACAGGTCAAGGTCATATTGGCAAGATAGCCCCTTAGGGGCTATTTTGTATTTTTTACGATTTTGACATTAGAAATAACGTCAAAGCACCACGGCGACGTGACGTTACCATGACGTCATCGTCGACTACGACGTTACGCGACGTTAAGATGCAGTCGTAAGGCCGTCGTGACATCCCGTTTCGTCGACTACGACGTCGTTTCGTGACATCGTGTTGAGGACAACGCCGTTACACAACATCAAGTCGCCGTTGTGATGCGGTCGCAACATTGTGTCACGTTGAGCATGACGCCGTTGCACGCTGCGTCGAGGATGACGTGGACGTTGACGCCTCACGCAACGTCAAGCATCGCTATGGCATCGCGTTAATGTCATCCTGACGTCATAGTTAACGTCACCGTCACAACGAAGCCTTGACGGCGTGCAACATCGTCGCCTTCGCCAGCATCAACGTCGACGTGCAGTCACGACAAATTCTTGACGGCGTGTAACATTGTAGACGATGACGTCAATGTCGACAACAACGTCCAAGAACTGACACCAAGTGTCCTTATGACGTCGCATTGACAAGGCTGTTGTCATCAACGTCATTGTTGTCGTTGTCAATGCAATTTGATGTCAGAATGCAATCTTGATGTCGTGTAACTCACGTTGTCAACGACGTTGACGGTAAGGCGTCGTTCTTATGTCGCATGGCGTTGTGACAACAAGTCAGGTCGCGGTGACTTTATGTACGTGACTGACGTCTAGGTTGTATAAAAAATGTAGTTTGGCATTCTGTTGTTTCTATGGCCTTAACCAGTGTGCCGGTCGAGCTTGGGTTTGGAACGAAACTCGTTTTTCATAAAAAACGGCTAATCCAAACCACTTCGCTGGCTTGTATAGGCCAGTTTTTTCCACATGCGGAGGTACCTAAATAGCACTCCGGTGGTCCCACTCGTCCATTCTAATACACTCTACTCTTGGGAATGAGTCAGGCTCGAAGGCAAGCGCAGACAGCGCCGCACAACGCAGATCATTGACCCTGAACGATAGGCCTCCTGCACTGAAGCTTTAAACCTATTGTGGTGCCCTCCAGTGGCAGGAAATAGAGTGTCTGAGTAGTACAAGTCCTGTGGCTCCTTGTTCGGGCAGTTGCAACCACGTTGGGCAGCTGTTTACCTGTGGACACAGCTGTTATTTGTGCATTTGTGTGGTCATGACTCAAATTGTGTCGCCCGTAGTCGTCACCACACAGCATTACCCTGGGGCCTAAGCTCGCTGCAAGGTAGTAATTTTTCCTTTGTCCAAGCATGTCGAAACTGGAACCGGGAGCAAACAGCGTGGCCTCAATGCGTTCGAAATGTCGCCATCGACGGTGCTGTTGCATCGTCTACTTACAAGAACAGGAAGGGTTTAACACCAGAGTGAACTTCTACAGGTTCCCACCGAAACCATACGAAGTTGAGTGGAGGGAACGATACTAGCTGCCCAGTGCACTGAATAAGCTCACCCTCCGGGTCGTTGTGCTAAGCATGGCCACTCGATCGAGCGACCGTGGCATGCATCAAAACGTGTGGCCTGCGAATTTTGTGAACAGGAACACACTATATTGTCCGACCAGTGAAGCAATCCGATTGATCTACATCTTTTACATGAGATCAGCAGTAAGAGCGCCATCTCCAAGACGAGAGCTTTCCTTTGAAAAGACAAGTGTGCGCGCCCACCAACGCACTACCAAGGGCAAGAAGCATGTGCTGAAGGCGGAGCTCGTACTGCTGATCTTATGTTGCTACAAGCTTGCAGCGCAGATGCGCAAGAAAAGCTTAAAGAACTCCAGAAGCAGCGTGCAGTAGGAACGACCTGCTCGGCCGACAGACTGCCGGTTGCTGCTCGATAGCTTGCGTCTGCTTTTGTGCATCTTTGAGGTTGGTCATCAGCTGATCAAGTCTGCTGTACAGAGAGACTGCAGTTTGGCCAATTTTGCTTACAGGCGCGTTCTCACCTCAAGCTCGACATCGCAGGATGCTTGCTGTTTTTGCGAGTGACAGCGCGCCTGCACCAAATGTAGGGCTTCTTGTATGGCGTAAACGCAGCTTGCAGTAGCATGCATCGCTGAGTTTCTTCCCTTTGAGGAGTGTTCCACGTTAGAAATTGGCTCGATTCCGTGTCATAAAACAGTCGCGAGGGGGTAATTTATACCGCCAACTAACATTCTGATATGGGACAAATTCAAATGCGCAAGTTTGTTCTACCCAGTACCGATAAGCAAATCGTAAGGGACGCTACAAGCCGGGTTTCCGCAATGCCCCCTGTTCAAAGCAGGAGGCCTATGGACGCATCATCCTGAACCCCCAGAAAAACAAGGGATTCCTGGCCTCGCTACTATATGTTACTAACGAGGCAGGCCTTGACATCTATGTCCCTTTCCCGGATAAGTTTCACCTCCTGTGACCCCCACCTCCAATCCTTGGCCCAGCAGCTGTTTGCTCTTCGACGGTGAGGAACTGATGCCATCTAAGCCGTGATTTCCTCATTCATTCGAGTGCATTGAGTACTCGTTCTTTGGCAAATTAACTACTCTTGAAGGTGTTTCTTCTTCCCTTCCTCGAAGGCAGAGTTCTTATTTATAAAGAATCCATGGGTTTCAGAAAGCCATAGAAAAGGTGTGGCAGCCATTGCTAGGACTAGCAGACGACGCTCTTGTTCGTTCCGATTGGACGGGTAGAGAGGAGAGACATTGCAGCCATTTGGAGTTTGGCGCAGCAACGTCACTGTACGTCCTGCGCAACAAGCAGAAGAACTTGATCGCCGCCACGGTGAAAAATGAGAGAGGTGTCTGAACAAGGCAGCAAAAGTTTGCTCGTGCTGCATGCATCTCCCAACAGGGACACTGTCGGCCAGGCATGCTGCACCGTCTCGCGGCATTCGTCGGCGATGTGATGCCGTCACAATGCCTGGAATGTGCCTTTGACTGGTGTGTTTACCGCATTGTAAAGAGCGGTCTCTCGATCTCTGCCCAATGACATAGCGTCTTTGTTGCCTCGCCCCAGGGGTCCACCTGATTGACCTGAAGAAGACTTGGGAGAAGCTCCTGCTGGCGGCCCGTGCCATTGTGGCAATTGAAAACCCGGCCGAGGTGTGCGCCATCTCCTCGCGGCCCCACGGCCAGCGGGCGGTGCTCAAGTTTGCCAGCTTTACGGGCGCCACCCCCATCGCCGGCCGCTTCACCCCGGGAACCTTCACCAACCAGGTATGCCGCCCAGGTGGAAACTGGTATGCCCCTCAAGAATCTTGTTACCCTTCAGTTTTGATTATCACTGATTTCCCTCAAAATTGGTTGAACACATGATACACACTAAAAGCCTAAATTACAACTGCCATTAATCTTTTTTTAGTGAAGTGCCTTTATCTCTGCTCACTCTTCCAACGTGTTCGAAGAGTGAGTAGAGACAAAGCTTTGACAAAGCTTGCAAATTTGCATCTACTCACTAATCCAAGGGTCTCAAACTCGTTTGAGTGCAGGGTTTCGGTATATAAAAATGTATTGCAATAATTGTCTTTTTAATGATATAAGTATTAAATGGGAGTTGTATAAATTGTAAAATTTAATTTCTGAAAACAATTTATTGTGATCAACAAAAAAACAAAAAAAAGTGAAGGAGTCTTGGCAAAAGAATACGGCTAAAAATATTAGATACACAAAATATGCCAAATTTTAATAGGGAGAAAGGCTGCAAATTGCAGTGCTCTTTATAAAAATACTTATCCAAGTTCTACCACAGTCTCCATTTGGTGAAGCGGTTGCTAGACGTGGCAAAACATTAATAAATGTAGCAGGTACTGCAGTTCCTCAAAACAATGGTAGAGTTTATACACACCTCAACTCTCTGCTTTGGGTCGATGTTCAGGGGTTGGCTGCACTTTTTCATCAGTGCCACTACAGAGAAACCAAATTTGCTTCTTTTTTTCTTTTTTTTTTTCCAAGTTCCCAACTTGTTTCACAACCCACAGTTTGGGAAGCTCTGTGGTAGATATGCTTTGCCAGGACAAGTTTTATTGCTCGGCTTGACCGACGTTCGAGAACTTCGAAAACCCCAAAAATGCCTTCGAGGACCTCAAAAGGTCTGCCGCCCTAGGCTTACCGCATAAACCCTCCGCCGCACACAGATCCAGGCGGCGTTCCGCGAGCCTCGGCTGCTGGTGATCTGTGACCCGCGTGCGGACCACCAGCCCGTGACGGAGGCGTCGTACGTGAACCTCCCCGTGATTGCCTTCTGCAACACGGACGCCAGCCTGCGCTATGTGGACATTGCCATCCCCTGCAACAACAAGGGCCAGCACTCGATCGGCCTCATGTGGTGGATGCTGACCCGGGAGGTGCTGCGCATGCGGGGCTCCATCATCCGCGACATCCCCTGGGAGATCATGGTCGACCTCTTCTTCTACAGGGACCCCGAGGAGGTGCGTTGAGCTCTCGGGCCTTTTAAAGAGCTCTGTGGGAACTAGGGCTTGTTAAAAAACACTAAAAAGAAGGAAAAATAATCTAAACAGTCTAGTTGGGACACGCGTGTCAAAAAAATTTACGCAAAAAAAAAAAAAAAAAAAAAAAAAATTCTAAATCGATATTGACAGCGCAAAATTTATTTTAAACTTTGCGCGTAAAGTTTATGATGTCACAGAATTATGCATTCTTCACCTCAACGAGATGGCCAAGCCGATCCACCTCTCCTTCATGCACCTGAAATGGTGTGAAAGAAAACAAGTGAAACGGACTGAATTCATATCCTGCACCGTCAATATTGCTGTAAAAAAAAAATAATAATTTTGTGTGATTATTTTTTTCACACGTGTGTCCCAATGAGACTTCAAAAAAAATCTTTCTTTTATGGGGCTCTTTAGGGGGGAAGCTGGCATGGAACTTAAACATTTTTGTTTTTAGAGTTATTGGTATGAAATTTTTAGGGTACATTCATAGCACATATATAAAGGCTCGTTCACACTCTTGCAATTGAGTATGACCAAGAGAGACGAGATCTGTTAAAACTTCTTAAATTTTCTTACGACGAGGGAACATACTGGCATTCTGGCGCCATCTATGCTTTGACCCTGGAACTGAATTTCACAAGAGCAAAGGTTTCGCGGGATTTCCGAGGTCAAATGTGCGTAATACCTATAGGAAAGGCTCGTTTACAATGTTGACAAAGGTTTTTCCAGCCAAGAAAGAAAGGATAATGTGCAAGAGAAGTAGAAAATATGCCGGACCGCCAAGTTTACACTGCTGCTACCCAATAGATGGCGCCAGTGTGTCCTCTCGTAAGAGGTTTTGAGGAACCCAGTTCTATGATGTCGCAAGAGTGTGGACGGGCCTTTAGAGTAACTGCCAAGTGTCATAAAGGTTTGCCCTTGAGTTCTTCAATTACAAAAACTTTTCAGTTTGGTTCACTTGCTTCCCTTATCCCAGTCCTGGAGAAATGGCAAAACAGTGGGAATGTGAAATTTATTATATGCATTCCTGGATAGGCCCCCTAGGGCATGACAAAAACCTTTTCATTAATTTCTTTTCAAGAAATGTTTTGCTCAACATTGAATTTCATATTGTTGGTTATATCCTCATCCGTCAAATTTATTGTTAGTGTTATAAAATTTTAACGCAATTTTCCAAAGAAAAAAAGGAAGTTGGTCATGCCCCCACAAAGTTGTTTAGGAGTAATAAAAAAACACTCCATGCAGATTTATTCAACCATTTCGGTATTGCTAGGAAAAATCTATTTTGAGAAAATGGCAGTTGGAAGTCGCGCACACATTTTCAGCATTGAGCCCGTTCACGTGGCACGATTCTTCTTGGCGATTTTCGTTCTCGTGCGGCAAAGAGGTTGTGGACACAGTAAGCATGCACACAAGTCATCATCCACGGCTTTTATTCATTTGTCTTCTCTCGAGCGAAGCAACGTTGCAACCGAAAATCACGAGAATCGCCAGCAGGATTGCGCCTCGTGAGACGGCTTTACCCGAGGGGTAGCTGGAAGTGTCCTTGCACACTTTCTTTTTGTTCTGCTGTTGTCTTCACTTCGTCTCGACGACCGACGGCATAGAAAGATGAATCGCAACCTGAAGTAGCGACGCAACGAGCACCGGCATCGCGCCGCGTGGAGGTGGGCCGCCGATGATGCTTCCGATGGTCGCCTTGCTAAAGAAGCTCGCACGGACCACTTTCATGCTTCGAATGCGTGCACAGTCTCCCAACTCATTCCCCACATCTCTTGCGGATACAAAACATGTGGACAAGGTAGCGAAACTACTACAACAAAGAGCTGTAAACGGTCATAAAGATGGCGAAAAAGCGAAGTGGAGTTGACAAAGCGCAGGAACGAGCAGACACGCTGGGCCAGCGGCGTGGTAGCCATGACAACGGAAGGAGAACGAACGTCGCAGCCAATAGTAGTCGCGCGCTTTCTCAAGCTTTGGTCAATCGCCGCTTAGCAATTTCAAAGCGGGAAAACGCTCGTCGTGCCGAAGCTATGCTGTGTGCACTGTTTTGAAGGGCAACAAAAAGAAGAAGAAAAAAAACACTTTAAAACAAGACGAGCATGGCGGCCGTCTGCCTAGTTGAAAGAGAGCGGGAATCGCTCAAAGTCCAGCACAATTTGGAAGCCGCCGGAACCTTGAAAATATTTTTTTAAACATATTTTCTCAGTGAATTAGGTGCTGATAATTACAAAGGAGGTAGAGTATGGAATATCAATCCAAAATGCAATCCCCACGTCCCCTCTTAAGGGCCACTCGGACCTGTTTTTAACTGCCACATCCGTTGCAGAATGAACTTTCTCTGGTAAAGGAAGAAAAAAGAGCCATTTAGGGCAATATTGGCAAGGCTAATTTTGAGTTGGGAGTTAGGAGCGAGGTTGACGACTCTTTTGCAACTCTCACTGCAAAATAGAAGGATATAAACATTGTTTATTTTCTAAAATTCAAAATGAAATGCGGCTTCAATTTATTTTTTACCAAAATTTGCCACCTCTCTGTAAAAGTAGGGGAACACTCTTCAAGTACAACTTCAAGTTTTGCCGCGAGTTTGGAAGTTTGCCGATATTGATATTTATTGTAGCTCGGAAAAGCCGCGACACCGCAGAAGGGCAAGTCGCCCGTACCATGTAAACTTATCAAAGCTCCAGGTTAAAATCTGTTTAATCTGGAGCTTTACAAAAGTTAGTGACAGCCCTACTAATAATTGCTTCTTGTGGGTACGGCCAAGCCTGCCTAGCATTGATGTGTTCTCACCTAGTCCTATGGCGTGTGTGTGTTGCAGACTGAAAAGGAGGAGCAGGCCCAGGTGGTGCCCGAGCGTGCGGTCAAGGAGACGGCCGAGTTCCCCTCGGAGCAGTGGGGCGGCGCCGACGTCGCCAGCGCACAGCCGGACGTCACCGATGTAAGTCCTCTGCCTGCCTCCTCCACAAAATGTTGGATGTCGTCTAGAGCAGTGCAACGATCCTTAGATAACCCCACCTAGGGAAACTTCGGCGATTACCAGCCTGTTCTCGCTGTCGTATTAAGGGGGAAAAAAAAAAAAAAAGAAGTTTTACACATTACTCATGCACTGCACGAAGTACGGTAGTTCTGACAACTTTAGGCTGTTAACTATTTTCCCCCGATACTGGTTTACGAGAGAATGGACATTGGCCAAGTGTATTTTGTTGTGACTTTTAATGGCAATGAATCCTCAGCGTTGTCATTTTTTTCTTTTATATTCAGAGTTTGATAGCAAACTAAAGGAGTTCAATGTTCGAATGCATTTTTCTCGGTTCCAATTTTTGCTGCAAATTTCACAGGAAGGAATCTTTTGTTCGGAGGTTAAAGTATTCTTGTGCCACAATCAAGAAGTTTCTCAACTGAAATTTACTGGGGAATTGGGCTATCTAGTTTATTTTGTTTTAAGTTGGAAATCCTGATTGAGAAAAAACTGTTTTCAAAAGTTTACATAAGGCAGGTACAAAAACTTTGTAAAGCACCTAAAAAAAATGCCGAAGGATGTTGCAATTTATTGAGCATGGTTACAGTGGCCCACGTACTAGTGTGCAGGTAGACAGTCACTCAATACATCCAAGCGCGAAAATTACTCGCGCAGCGCTGAGCTATCAACTCCTCGTATGTATTACTTCATACTTCCTTGTTTGAAGGAATATGTGGATCATGCTTTACCAGCTTGCCCAGTCTGCAGTATTAACAGTTACTTTAGCGTGTTCCCAACCAACCGCGGGTGTCTCTTTTGGTGGTGCCATGTTACAGTACCCCTCCGCACTGACGCTTTATCTGAAATTGCAGGGGACTTTCTTCCGTCCACCAGCAATGTTAAAAACAATCCACGACCAAGCCACACAATAGGGAGTTTTAGGATAACGTACGCAATTTTAGCGCACGCTAGAGCTATATTTAGCGCTTGTATTAGCGCACACGACGCAGGAGAGTTTTAGAATAGCGTTTCTCCGTCGCGACACAAAAACACTATCAGCTCGCGCTTGTGACGCCACCAAGATAGTCACAATTTTATTTCACACGAAATGCTGCAACTTTAGAAAAAAAAGTTTTTTTTGTTCAGAGTACTTATTTAGATTCGTTTAAACATGAGAATCCGACGCGACCGGTTAACCGGTCGTGTCCGCTTGCGTCGCCTCAGCAAAAGAGGTGTTGTACCGAACTTCGCACATCGTACCTTCGCCGCAAAAGGTTTGTGCGTCGCAAGCATCAAGTTGCCGGTGATCTTTGCCAAACCGAGTACAATGTCGTCCTGTATTGAAAATCGCAGTCGCAAGAATGGCACCGACGTCGCACTCACGACGCCACCAAAGCAGCCACCAACATAATCCTGGAAGCCGCCATTTTTTTTTTAACTCTGCTCGTCTTGGCTTTAGCCAACTTCTCATCACGAATCCTCCTTGGAGAAGCGCAAAGACTCTTTGCGTACGCACGCCATTTCCAAGAAATAGCGCACGCTAAAATTGCGGACGCAAAGCGCAAAACTTGGTTTGCGTTCGGAGCATGCGCAGTGGCGACGACGCTATTCTTTGCGTATGCGAAGCTTTTGCGTGCGCTATTCTAAAACTCCCTAATGTAGCCAGATTTTCTCCACATTGCACCTGAAGCTTGGAGGGTCTAATTTTTTAGTTGTCAAGTGTCGTCATAGGCCTTTTCCGAAATGGTACATGTGGTCGTTTGAACGGTATAAAAGATTCCAAGTTAGTAATGAAATAAGGCGTTGACAAACACGCTTGCTCAGTGCCTTTTATTTTAGGTTTTTGCTTTCAAAGAGTTACCGCTGCAGGCGCCAACACGAGCAGTTCCTGGAACTACACTCGCTGCACAGTCCTCGGTGCTCGGGTAATTTAGCGAGAGCTAAATTACCCGAGCACCGAGTAGGCAACAAAACGGCGGTGCTTGCACGAAAATCAAGGCGCAGGGAGCAAACTGTCGAGTGGCTCCTCGCACCGTCTATTGGAAACAGGAAATTGTCTTCGACGGCTCACTGCGAGAATTAACCCTCCAATTCCTCCACGCATTTCCTCGTGCAGTGGTCCGCAACCCCGGACGTGAGCGCTTTCGCGGCTCCCGCTCCGGCCGCGGCTGCGGCTGCACCGGTGGCTACGGACGACTGGGCGGCCGCCCCGGCTGTGGAGGACTGGTCGGCCACTCCCGCGGCTCCGGCTTCGGGCACGGCCGCCCCCACCAGCGACTGGGGTGCAGCCGGCACCGACAACTGGAGCTAGGCCACGAGGACCGTCTGCATTGTCGGAATAAGCGACCAATAAAGGCACTTTTGAGTAGCTCTGGTTTACTAATTTGGTGGGGCTGCGTCAAAAGGTAGCAGGCCTGGCAGTTTCAAGCCCCTCTATGATGGAAGAAAACCATTGTACTCGGCTTTCGTCCTCTCCAACACCCTCGCTCCTCTTGCCAGCTGGTTGGTGCATATTATTGACCAAATTTGTACCCGTAATACCACGCAATGTTTGAATCAGTCAGAAATGGCTGGCACCAACCGCCAACCTTTGGAGTCGCATTGAGCAAAGCGGGCCGGCACATTGCACCGTGCTGCGTTCGGCTGAGACGTGCTTCTTGACCAATTGAAGATGACTTTCGGCTGAACGCAGCACTTTGGTTCGACCCATGTCTGCATTTTACCTCTAGGCGGCATTCAGCCCACTAGGGTTGTTATCTAGGAGGCCGTGCTCAAAAATGGCTCTGTGTGCTGCGACTGAGGATTTTAACACTCGGGGAGACCATGATTAGCGGAGCCTGCGCACGATTGGAATAAATGAAACAATGAAAAAAAGGGATACTAGTACGAGGAAAAGTAGAAGACACAAGCGTGGTACTGTATTTCTTTTTTTTGCTAGTTCTTGTGACCTTTTTGAGCCGTCCAATTTGTTCCACATCAAAGGACCTCTACCAAGCTTCGTTGTTTACATGCCTAGATTCTTGCAGAAACTCAAACCTGTTACTGGCAAAGAATCAAAAAGAATAAAACTAAATCTCGTTTAAGTCCAAGTGTTTATCTAGTGAAGCAAGGCACAGTAAATTAAGAAAAAAAAAAAGTGGGCAACTGAAAAGACGATATGCTATAGTCCCCAACAAGGTGAGCACGACAAGTACATCTTTGAACACCTGCTTCCAATGTGCACTTGTTGTCTTTTGCATACGCTTTGGCTGTGTGCATGCTCTCATGAGACGAAGCATGATCGAAGGCAGGAAGGTCGCACCAGAGGCTGGACAAGAAACTCCTTGGTCTTGCCCTGTTGGTGACTGTAGCCGTGTTACTTTTGCCTCGACATATTTGTGCTCAATTCCTCGTTAACTTTGGTAAAGTCGACACGCATGATGTGGGTGTTTTATAGAGCTAAAAATTATGGCATATTACCCTGGTAAGTCATATTTTCCAAATTTTTTTTATGAAAGACTCTCCAGTAGTTTGGGATCACTGATGTCTGCATCTATACCCCACCGTTCTGAGGCGGCCAGGATGCCAAGGGAAAAAAACGGACCTTTCATCTAGATTTATGATGTCCACATTGCCTTTTTCTGGGTCTTGCACAATAAAAAAGGCTCGAGGTACACCTACGGTAAGCATTTCTTGTGAATGCTTACCGTAGGTGAGTTGTGAATGCGAAAGCATGCATGCCGCTCTTCTGCTCCCTTTCGTCTGCGGCGTAATTGCGTCGACAATCGCGCACGCGCTGACCTTAGACGTGGAGCGGTGGAGCCGCTGCCTTGCAGACACTCGGCGCCATAGGGTGGCAGTTGTTCAAACTAACGTGCAGCGGCCAATGGGAGCCTAGCCGACGCGCGCCAGCCAATGGGACTGAAAGCGAAATTCATCCGCTTTACTCCACTTCTTTGGGATCGGGGAAACTATACTCGTTTTCACCTCAAACCGTAGGGAAAAAAGTATGGTTTCTCGTGGAGCATTACTAATTTTCCTTTTTATTATGAGAATTGACCTTTTTCAGAATTTGACCATGATCATGGCGCGCCCTCGCGGGAATCGCTCGAAACACTTTTGGTGGCTCCGGGAACGTCTCTGCGTCGTCCGCGCCAGGCCTGGCTTATCTCGCGGTCCTTGTGTTTGCGTGTGTTCTCTGGTGGCGTTGTTCCGTCTTTCACCAATCTGAATGTGTCTTTCTGTCGTTGCTTCGCGCGCATATTTTCTTCGAAATGGTTGAGAACGACCTCGAGGATTAACAAAAGTCAATGTCTAGGATACAGTGGACCTCGTTCATTTTTATACCTTCAGGGATGGATAGACCGCTGACGCCGCATCGGTTCTTACCATCGATTCGGAGTCACTTCATCGTCACTTCGGTGTCGCGTCTTGCAAGCAACTAAGAAAGGGGTCTGCTTTCAAAGCAGAGTCGCAGAGTGTTATGTAAGGAAAGTAATGGTGACCAGCTTGGATACCGACCCAACCATCCACCTTGTGCGGAGCTTGTGAGCTTCGTTTATGATTCCCGGCCACTACAAACAGCTGATTTTACCCTCCTTGATCGCTTAAGTTATTCAAGCTTATCGCGTCCGTCACTTTGCCGTCCTGTGTACCGCGCAAGGGCACGGGACAATGGCCGTATTCGGGAATGTGTAAGCAAACTCGGACAGTGCGAAATCCAGGCCGTTTTGATATCGCGAAGGATTGCCTGCACCGTCAAAAAGTAAGGAACGGTATGTTAGAAACAATCCATCTTTGAATTCGGCGCATTTAACGAACCTTCGACAAAGTGGGCCCAGCAAACAGGAGGGTTCACGGTTGGTTGCCAAGAAATTTCATCAAGGTTTTTTAATTCTGTCTCCGTAAGGCTTAAATTCGTTTCGCTCACTTTAAATGTTTTGTCAGATTTTTTTTTAATGTGGCAAGACGCGAATGTGTATAGCGCATGCCTGAAGAACGGAAAACTTTATGCTGTTATTTGTTCATTGAGTACCGGGTGTGGCATGATTACGTCACACAACCTCGTTTGCATGTTTACTATTAACAAAAAATGGTCAGAGTGCAGGCGAGCTTGTGTAAGTTTAACATGATGGAAAACTTGATATATGAATACATGAAAGCTTGATGGAACATCGAGGACAGGGACGGAAAGAGTATACTTCTTTGAAGAAGTCCTGTATCCGTCTCCGTCCTTGATGTTTTATCCTTGCATGTATTCGTATCTATTCGCCAACACGTTCATATTCAATTATTAAACCCAAGACTGAGGTAGGAAAATGAAAACGCAAAGGAAAAACAGGCAACGTCTCAAGAGACGTTGCCTGCTCTTTCTCTGTGTCCTTTTGTGTTTTCCTTTTCCTAACCCAATTTCAGGTATATCATCATGTTCATGTTTACTGTATTTTAGTTAAAAGCAGAATGTCCCGCCATGACATTGATAATCCAGCCGCCTGAAACGGGGGACTCTCGTCATAGGCTTTTGAAAGCAGGGCAAAAAGGGCGGGGTGTTTTACATCGGGTGCTTCGTGCACCACCCGCCAAAGGCTACAAGAACTTTATAAAATTTGGCATTTTAACAATGTTTGCTTCTATTTGTGCAGCCTTCTGCTGCGCAGTGGTGAGGCATGACGACTAGCCAAGCCGCGAGAATACCAGAGGAGCCAAGCATAACCAGCACTGTCTGAGCGACCGAGTGGGCGAGAGAGCCACCAAAAATGGCACCTTTCCCTTTCCTCTCCTCTCTCAGAGTCGGCGTATGCGCCCAGCGATCTCTGAAAAAGGTCAATTGAGATATATGCGGTGCATTTTAGATTAGATACATGTTACCTTATCAAGGCGTACACGTTTCGAACGCCAAAAGCATCGCTTCTGCCTCCGACAACCAAATCTTGTAAGAACTACTTCGCGTGGCGTATGAACATTGAGCAAAACGCCCTTTTTTCTTGAGGTGAAAACGGGTATAGGTGCCACTGTCTAGGTTTTTAGCGTGGTTTCATAACTGGGAGCTGGCTCCACTTGGAGAAAGGATTTCAGGTACCATTTGGCGCAGCTTCAAAGTTGATGACGTCTGCTTACTCCATGGGACAGTTAATGCTTGCGCATGAAAACAACTGAATGTTAGGGAAGTAATAAGCGGAGTGGTGCCTTGTGAGTATGAACGGAAAGGAAGGGAGTTTGTGAAACATAATTTTTATGACCAGTGAAACAGTAAAAAACGCACCTCCGTGATAAAGTGCTGACCCTGCTGCATTTCCCTGAAATGAGGAATATCTGCCAAAAAACAATTTTTCTCTCCCAATTTGCAGAAAAAAATAAGTTGCCCCCCCCGCCCCCCTCCCCCCCCCCCACTGCAAAGTGCAGGAAGGGGTGGGGGGCTAGCTATGTAGGTTAAAGCCATGCTCCTAGGAGGAACGTCGTAGCTAAATTTTTTCCAGACATGAAATTTCAAAGCTCGGGGTGGGGAGACTGCCAGAGGATAGAAAAAGTTACGATCCTTCCTTGGCCTGGCAGGCTATTACGCACGGTTCGTGCCTTGCAATGACGATGTCGTCGAACCACTTTGCAGGTTTTTGTGCCAAGATCAGCCATTTGTATAGAACGACGCTACACTGCAAAGTTTTGATCGAGTGAAGGCCATGCTGTCATCTGGGCCAGCGATGCAGATCTTCAAGCCTGAACTACTTGTCGTGACGACTGATGCGTCGGACAAGGGCCCGAGCGCAGTGCTATAGCAGCGGTCTGGCATTGAGCTCCACATGCTTGCTTATGCTTCACGAACCCCGTCTTCTTCTGAGGGAAGGTACTCTGTGGGGAGAGAGAAACGTCGGCCTGTATTTTTGCATGTGAGCACAAGCACATTTTTTTGGGGGGGCAACGGTTCGTACTGAGAACAGACCACCTAAGCACTGGTAACCCTGCTGGCATTCAAAGGATCGGGACATCGGCCCTTGCGAATATCAGGATGGTCAGCACAGTTGTTGGTTGTACTACAACTTCGACATTGAGTACCAGCTGTGAGGCTGATGCATTGTCTTGCTTACTGGTGAAAGGCCTTGCAACTCGAGAGAGAAGAGGAGATACTGTCAAGACCGCTTATAACAAAGTCAACAGGAATCGGAAATCACTTCGCTATATCCGCTATTTTGTTATAACCGACTTCAGTTAACGAAGCCCAAAAGGAAATGGGAAATCGTGATCGCTTCGCTGTAGCTGCCATTTCTTTATAACCGACTTCGTTATAACCGGTTTTGACAGTAGTCTCCATTTGTTAAACCATGTGTCCCCAAGGAGCAGCTGCAAGAAGCCACTGCAGCAGACTACTCTGCAGGCGTTGCGCATTTCGTCCACGACAGATGGCCGTCAAGGAAGTCGCTGGCTGCCGAACTGCTTCCAATTTACCCCGTTCAGGAAGACTGTCGGTGGTTAACAAGCTTGTGCTGCGAGAGGAGAAGGTGGTCTTACCTGAAGCTACGATGCTGGTGATGGTACGCCATCCCCCGAAGCCCGCCCTGGTATTGTTCGGACGAGAAAAGGCTCAGAGACCGGTTTTGGTGGCCTCGCATGGACGATCGAGTGGAGTTAAAAGCTGACATATTTGTCAGGAAGCGGACAAGTTGGCAAACCCTGTGTTCGCACCGCTGCAGCCGGTTGTTTTACCAGATATTGTTGGGCCACTGGCTCCAGCACCACCCGACAAAAAGTTTGTGATAATGCCGACAGACTATCACTCGATATGGCCTGAGCTCCGTTTTGCGGGCCATGTGACTTCTCAAGCAGTCATCGAGTTCCTGCGCTCGATGCTAAGCAGAAAAGAATACCCCGAGGATATCGTAACAGATAATGGGACACAATTAGATACAAGGAGTTCAAGGATTCACTTCAAAAAAGAGGAATCCGACACTGCCCGTCTTCAGTCTACTATCCTGAAGCGAATGGTTGGATTAAAAGGTTCAATTGGGTCTTAAAGCACTTCATCCGGCTTGCTATCCTTGAGGGCCGACCTCTGCACTCTGCGATCATCGACCATCTGGGCATTTATAGATGTACACCACACCCCAGATGGAAATTTCCCCAAGTGGTACCACTTGGAAGTGGTACCTTTACAAGTGGGTTATCGAACAGGTACCACCTGCAAGAGGTTCCACTTGCAAGCGGTGCCACTTGCAAGTGGTACCACTTGCAGGTGGTACCTGTTTGATAACCCACTTGTAAGGGTACCATTTGCAAGCGGTACCACATGCAAGCGGCACCACTTGCAAGCGGTACCACTTGCAAGCGGTGCCTTTTGAAAGTGGTGCCCCTTGCAAGCAGTGTCACTCGGAGAACTGACACATGAATGTGTAAAATCGTCCATTTGTGTGCCAGATAATGAAAAGACAGTCGACATATGTTACTTTTCGTCGTTTTTATTTGAAACTAAAAGAAATGGCTTTCATAGAAAGAATTAAAAATCCGAAATTCCCCGACGTCTTAAAGCTTTACGGACGTCCTGTATTTTCTGCGACAGGACTGTCGACATGCTGTCGACGACATCTGTCACAGAGGCCTTGTTAATCTGGCCCCAGTGTTGAACTGTTTCTGCAAAGGCAACAAAAATAATTAATCCACAACCAGTTTGTTGCAGTATAAAAGTGAACATGATGAAAACTCACTAACCTATCACGAGTCCAACTTTTTGGGGGCTCAGTTCTTTGCGCACAACCGCATTAGGGTTGTGATAATCTTTAGGGGCCAGCTTGCCCCCAAATGTTCTTTGGGCGAGCCCAATCCGACCCCAAAGGGCCTGCGCCATGTCTTTGGCCACCATGGCTGGCTTGTGATGACTCATCACCTTCCTTGCTTGGTGGGACCCGATCGTCGTACCCCGGTTCAGATGATACTGGAGGCCAAAAGTATTTAAGTACAGAGCAGGATCACTTCAATGCGTTACCGTTAGGGAAGATAGTATTTGAGCTCTTCGCCTTCATGGTTGACAGACAAGAACAAGGCTAGACGTAGTACGGCTGTCATCCAAGAACTTCCTGCAACGACCAGAGGTGGGATGAAATCTCTTCGGAAGAGAGTCATGAACCGACAGTGGATGTGTAAAGCCTACACAGATGGAAAGCGTGGTGCAAAGGCTCCCAAATTAAAAAAAGGTGATTTCATCAAGGTATGCAAGTCACTTGGTGGCAGGAAGGGACACCTCCGGTATATGGCACCGTCAAAGATCCTCAAAGAGAAAAGGACCAGGCACATTTCCGTTGGAAGACAGGCATTCATAGAATGCTTTGAAATTGGTTCTCATGCCTTAAGTGGGAAAAGAAAAAGAACCAGGTTGGCCTAGATGGCTTTCGCTGGATTCAGAGGCAGCGATAGAAGCACGGTCAGTTTCACCCCAGCAAGGGTTGTTGCCACGAGTAGCCGCCTGAACTGGCTGTTCCAGAGGACGAGGTGGACCATTGGGCACCACCAGAGCGGAACGAGCCTGCCCCTGTGCAGCAGCTATCGGCACAACACAGAGACCATTAGAGTGGTTCAGTGACCATGTGACATAATGTGTCAAATAAGAATGGTGTAGTATCAGACAGACATTTTTGTTTTCCTCAGTGTTACTGCATGAAGGCATATTGTTTTCTTAATGTTAGTCTGCAAGAATGTACTTCTTTTAGGGGAAGATAATGTTGTTTTGCTTTGTGTTGGCAACATATGCACATTATCATCATCATTGTATTGTTCCTCATATTGCATATTTTGTTCTTGAATAAAAACATTCTGGTTTGGAATGTGAACCGAGTTGGTCATTCATGCCTTGCGGTGTCACGGAGGACATCACACCATGGCACAGGTAATTTGATTAGTTCTAATATGGGAGGTAAAATTTCAGATCATGATAATGTTGTCATTATGCTGCGATTTATTTTTCTTTAGTAAAAAATATAGAAACATGGATTTCAGTATTACGGTTATTGCACCATGTTACTGCATTCCATGTTTTGCCAAAATATGGCTTATGTGCACCAACCTTGTTCAGAGGCATAAGTCCCAGTCTTAAAAAAAGGTCACTAACAGTGGGCTCCCCCATATTATATATATCTCAGGAAGGAAATGATCAGCAGAGAAAAATAAATTGATTGCCTGTCACATAGATGATTTTGCTCAGTTTCTTCCCCTTTACCATTAGAGAATAGAAACATCTGGACAGTAAAATTATCACTTCACCTCTTAATATGTTTTTCTTGGTTTCACTAGAGGCTTGTTATCATTAAGTGTCTGACATTTGGTGTTATTATTCTAAATGTACATTGTATTCTCCGTGTTTTTGTGATGTAACTCTCCCTTACAATAATGTCCCCTGGGCAATGTAGGCATATGCATAAATCAATTACCTACATTTATTTATGGTGGGGATGTGCAAGTTTTCAAAACTTTTACTATACAATAGCACTTAATAGTTATAATTATTTGAACTACATTCTAGCAGAAATGACCAAAAAAATACAGCAACACCTGCACACCAAGTCATCCCTCAAAACTCGTAAAAGTGATAAATCAAAGAGCAGATGAATCTGTGTAGCGCACATCATCCTCTTGATTACTGCACAGGAGTGATCTATCCACCGTCAAACTTAATTGATCTAATTTTTCTTTTCTTGAATGAAAAATGAGGTGGGAAGGAAAAAGCAGTTTTCATCTTGACACGACATATGCCATAGAAGGCACTCTTACATTGAGGCAGGCAAGTTCAAACAAATCTTTTTAGCAAGCTTTCAAGCCATCCAACATGTCTACATGCAAGAACAGGAGATGCGGATGAAAGTAGGTAATTTCGAGCAGATCTGGTTGAGCGGATCGCTCGACCAGATTAAAACAGCAACAGCACAAACAAGTTCTTTTGAAACACATGAAAGGAAAACTGGAGGCCACATTCAAAGTTGTAGGGTACCAAAGCGGTAAAAGTTGGTGGGACACAGCTGAAGAATGCCTAGCATGCACCCGTACCGCCGCCACCTGAAGGCGATTTGTGTGATAGATGACAACAGCCACAGGTACAAATGAGGCCAATCAGGCGCCCAGAATTTTCCCACGGTCTTAACGGTTTTATTCTACAATTCTCCGAATATGCACCCAAGCCCATGGTGTACTCTAGTTTTGCTTTATATGCAAAACCTTAGGTAGGCCGAAATATAACTAGGTTTTCACATTTCTCTCAAAGTAACACAAAGTGCAGCAAATGTACAAGTTCCCGTAAATACTACCAGTCGCAGACGTAACACTTCCATGTTTGTTGCCATGAGTGAACACGCGACGCGCTCCAAAAATATCTTTTTAGGCACACGTTTTCTGTCAAGGGGCAGTGCAACAATTTTATTGTTGAAAGAATTTGGTGTCTGTTTTTTATATTTTCTATTTCAGCACAAGTGAGAAAAAAAAGAGACACCTTCCTCCAAAATACTGTGATTACGCTGCATAATCGCAAAGGAAAAAAATGCATTCTTCCTCAATTTGCAGCCACCTGTGGCGGTCATGGGAACCGTGATGTCCCGTCATGGAGAGAACACAGGTTTTCATAGCATTGTCTAATGGAGGTCAATCAAACCACTCCCTCTCCCCTGCCCGTCCAAACAGTCTTTTCTCTCAAACACTCGCCGTGACCTTCAACGATGCTGTCCTTGAAAAGTCGACAATCGCTGAGGGAGCATTTGAGGCCCTGAAAACAGAACCTAAAGGGAAAGCAGCTTATACTTCATCCCATGACGTCGTTCGAAGGATGGCCCGAGGGCTGAGGGTACCCCAAACTTTGAATTGTTGAATTTTTAAAATAAAACATTGCACACTTTTTTTAAAATTTATTTTATAGGCGACACATTTCAGAATTAACTGGCCAAAGTACAAAAATCATTACACCGCCCTTTCATTTAAAAAACAACAAAAAACAATGTTTAACAGTAGATATGCTAACATTATTTCCTTTCTTGAGACTTCCAGGGCAAACTATTATATTCATAGGTAGATTATTTCAGTAAAACATTTGAGTAAATATTGCCCTGGGTCTCATGTTTGGGAGATTTTAAAGTTAGAAGGGTGATAAATTTACGAAGCAGACTCAATGTTAAAAAGCAAGCCGGAGCTTTTTTGAAATGTTTGTCCAAGTGTGTTTTAGAAAACATTTTGATAAAAAAAAAACTTGAAAAAAAAATTTTGAAAAAGCTTGTGTAAAATTTGTAACAATGAGCATGTGATGCCAAATTATACCCCTCCTAACAATAAAATTAAGAAAATATAAAGCGCCTGAAGTATTTAGACATAAACTACCTAAATAGAAATAATGTAGCTACAACCAATGCATCTGGAGCTGAAATACCCAAAAAGCAAAAGAAAAATGTGTTAACAAGGCCACTTTTGTTTTTATACTTTTAAAAATAAGGAAGGCTTTATTATTTAATATGACCACCATCAGACTGGAGTCTTAAAGGGCAACTCCGGTCCATAATTTCGATTTTGGGATTATGGCTGTTTTTAGTGCAGTTAGCGCCCCTGAATGGCAAGGTGTAATTTTTTTCTCGTTATTGTGCGTAGTTTTAAAGATATCGATGTCTCAAAGTTTTGTTTGGGGCGCGGGCGACAAAACCGAAACTAGCCGCTCGAGGTTCCGGCAACACTGGAAATCAGCCGCTATGTGGACGTGACGCCAAGATCATTCTCGTCCAGCGAGTACGCAGTCCAAGCAGCACCTACCTCTGTTGCGCTAGCCGTCTAAAGATAGAAGGTAAGCTGATTTTGTTTTAATTCTGTATACGTGGTAGTTATCCAGCATATGTAGTAAGAGTTAGTGCGTATACCCTAAAGCTAGCGACTGGAAAACCCGTCAACTCGTTCGGTGGCGTACTCGGCGGCCACCGCCGCGCGTGCGCTATGCCGTGCCGTACTTGTTGCTTGTATACCCAAAAGCTAGCGATTGGAAAACGAGTGAACTCGTTCGGTGCCGTACTCGGCAGCTGTCGGCGTGCGTGCGGTCTCCCGCACTGGTCGCTAGGCCTAAATTGTCATCGGGGCTCCGTGGATGGAGCGGCGTTGCTCTACGCTGCGCTGCCAGTGACGTACAGTGCTGGCCCTTTCGCGCGGCGGGTCAGTCCCAGACACGAATCTTTGAGGCTCTCCGGCGCGTTCCGCGACAACCGAACAGACGTATGTCAAGCTGTAGACGTCTGTTTTTTCGTTATTTTTTCCTCAGGCGCGTAAAAGCCGAATTTGTAAGCTACGACACTAATTCACCACATAAGTTCGTCCAGGTAATGAATCTTTGTACAAATAAAAAAACAACTTGCCGCACAAAAAAAAAAAAAAAAAGTTCTTTGGGCAGTCATTTTCTTCTCAAAGCTAGCAAAAGTTTTTGTGGGTGATAAAGGAAAACAGAGAACGTTAGCAAGGTGAGAACACTTTCTTTCCCTTCCGCATTCCCACCCCCACCCACAACAATTTTTTTGTTTATTACAATACACAGGAATTTAAGTTTTCCTTCGTAACTTTTGACTAAGACAAGTGCTTTTTTTTTTTTTTTTTTTGCATTTTTAAATATTATATTTACCTCCAGCCGAACTCGGGCAAATTAGAGAGTTGTAACTTACAAATCCGAACTTTCGCGATTTCTTTAAAGTCCCTTGTGGTATTCACAAGCGCAAAGTTAATTAATACTGCTGCGTAACGGGTTCGAACGATTGGGAGGCGAATGTTTATATAGCATGAGCTTCACGCGCCGGCTGTTTGCTAGTAGTCGTTACGGACCTGAATACTACGCACGAGATTGCGTGGTAAACAAGCAGTGACGCAAAGCAGAACATTGTTTTCCTTTTCATTGCAAACTTCAGTGTTTGGAGCTAGTTAGTGGTTGTACTCTACATGCCCACCATTCCCCATTCAACAGACATTCAATGGAGCGTGAATGCTCAATCTTCAACACTGCACTTGACAATGACTGTTTTATTTATTGATCAGGATACTTTTATCATGTTTACCTTTTCTGTACATGTACGATGGGCAAAGAGCGACGGCACGGCATCCTTTTTAAGCCTCGACCCCTTCGCTGACAAGCCACAAGCAACCAACACCTGTGGGTTTCGTTCGTAACTCTCCGGCGAACAATGATTGGAGCAGAGCTTCGATCTGGGGGTCGACGTCCAAGGCTTTTCAAAGTCCACTCGTCGAACAGCGTTCACCCACACCTTCTCCAATTTTCGATCCATTGGAAACTTGTGAAAACGCACCTCCGGGTTGCGCAGCGGCTTGTTTGAGCAGCCCACAGCGCTTTAAGTTGTACTCGGCATCTTTCGAGGAACAGCTGGGCAGTCTTGGGCGCACCGAGTTGCTCGCTAAAACGAGTCTAGGAGTCCTCACAAGCAAATAAACAAAAGGCTATACCGAAGCTACACGGGCTACAGGTAAAAGCTACGGCTAAACACGCAATTACAAGCCGAAGTAGCGGTGGTAGCGGCACAAAGAAGCGCGCGCGACAGCTGCGCCGTGCGCCCGTCCGGAACGGAGGAAAAAAAGAGAACGATGTTGACATCACGGCCCAATGCTGCTTTAGCGATCGGCAACCCGCTGGCCGCCCGCTAAGGAGCAGCGGGTCGCGTTTTTATTATCGGCATTAATTGAGAATGCGACGTCCTACGGACGTGAAATTTTGGCTGGGGTCGTATTTTGTGTCACTGAAGCGATACCAGTAATTTAATTCATTTTGAGTTTTGGCCGGAGTTGCCCTTTAAGTACCAAGCAATGGTCATCCCTTACATGTGGCAACCCTTTCAATGCTTGTCCAAGCCGTCCTTGTGTAAACACCTTTTCGCAGACCTTGCACTTGCAAGGATTTTCTTCCGTGTGAATTCTCACATGACGTACCAAGGTTTCCCTCTAAAAAAAACCTGCCAGGTTCGGCAACAGTATGGCTCTTCACCTGCATAGAGTCTCTCGAATCCGAAGGTTGGGCATCTGCGCGAATACCTTGTGACAGATGAACAGCTTGTCACCTGTGTGCATTCT